TATAATGATTAAGGGCTCAAATCAGCAAGAAGATATAACAATTGTATGCATCTATGTACCCAACAGAGGAGCACCTAAATAAAGAGGGCAAATATTACCAGAAATGAGGGGAGAAATGGACAGTAATTATAGTATGGATTTTAACACCCTATTTACATGAATGGATAGATCATCCAGACAGAAAATCAATAAGGAAAGAGTGACGTTGAATGATATATTAGACCAAATGGACCTAACAGATATATACAGAACATTACATCCAAAAACAGCAGAATACTCATTCTTTTCTAGTGTACGTGGAACATTCTCCAGGATAGATCACATGATAGAGCACACAACACGGCTTAATAAAATTAGGAAGATTTAAATCATACCAACCATCTTTTCTGACAAGAGTATGAAACTGACAGAGGCACAAACAGCATGTTATGAAACAAGCAATGGGTCCACAAAGTAATTAAATAAGAAATCAAAAAATACTTGGAGAACAATGAAAACAGAAACACAACAATGTCAAATCAATGAAATGCAGCAAAAGCAGTTCTAAAAGGGAAGTTTATAGCATTACAGGCCTATCTTGAGAAACAAGAAAAATCTCAAATAAATTATCTAACCCTATGCCTAAAGAAACTAGAAAAAGAACAAACAAAACCCAAAGTTAGTAGAACGAAGGAAATAATCAAGAGCAGAGCAGAAGTAAGTAAAAGTGAGACTAGAAAATTATATAAAGGATACAAAAAACTAAGAGCTTGTTCTTTGAAAGGATAGACAAAATTGATAAACCTTTAGCTAAACTAATCTAGAAAGAGACAGGACTCAAATAAAATCATAAATGAAAGAGGAGACATTACAACTGACACCATAAACATATAAACAATTGAAAGAGATTATTGTGAAAATTTATATTCCAACAAACTGGACAACCTAGGATAAATGGCTAAATTCCTAGAAATATGCACTCACCCAAGAGTGAACCAGGAAGAAATAGAAAAGGTAAACAAAATAATTACTAGTAATGAAATGGAAGCAGTAATCAAAAACTCACAACTAACCAAAGTCCAGGACCAGATGGCTTCACAGGAGAATTCCATCATTTAAAGAAGGGTTAACACCTATCATTCTCAAGCTACCCCGAAAAACTGAAGAGGAAGGAATGCTTCCAAATTCATTCTACAAAGCCAGCATCATCTTGATACCAAAACCAGACAAAGACACTACAAAAAAAGAAAACTACAGATGAGTATCCCTGATGAAATAGATGTAAAAATCCTCAACAAATTTTAGCAAACCAAATTTAAAAATTCACAAAAGGGATCAGTCACCATGACCAAGTCGGACATGTTTCAGGGATGCAAGGATAGTCTGTAAATCAATCAATATGATACCACATAACAAAAGGACAAATAAAAAACATAAGGTCATCTCAATAGATGTGAAAAACACATTTGATAGAAGTCAGCATTCATTCATGATAAAATTTCTCAACAAAGTGTGCATAGAGAGAATATATCTCAACATAATAAGGCCATATAAGACAAATCGAAAGATAACATCACACTCAATGGTAAATTACTGAAAGCTTTTCCTCTATGATCAGGAATAAGACAAGGATGCCCATTCTCACCCCTTTTATTCAACATAGTACTAGAAGTCCTAATAAGAGCAATCAGTCAAGAAAAATAAATTGAAATGCATTCACATCAGTAAGGAATAAGAAAACTGTCTATTTGCAGATGACATGATATTGTGTGTGTGTGTGTGTGTGTGTGCAAAACCATAAAGATACCACACAAAAAAACTATTAGGATTAATAAATGAATTCAGTGAAGTTGTACAACACAAAATCAATGTACATAAATCTGTTGCATGTATATACAATGAACAGAAAGAGTGATTAAGAAAATTAATCCCATTTACAATTTCATCAAAAAGAATAAAATACCTAGCAATAAATTTAACCAAGGAGATGAAAGAGCTATACCCTGAAAACTATTAAGACATTGATAAAAGAAACTGAGGAAGACAAAGAAATGGAAAAATATTCCATGCTCATGAATAGAAAGAATTAATTTGTTAAAATGGCCATACTACTTAAAGCAATCTACAGATTCAGTGCAATCTCTATCAAAATACCAATGCCTGTTTTCACTGAACTAGAGTAAATAATCCTAAAATTTGTACAGAACTACAAGAACCCTAAGATAGGTTGAGCAGTCTTGAGAAAGAACAACAAAACTGGGGATATCATGCTCCCTGATTTCAAAATATACTATGAAACTATAGTAATCAAAATGGCATGTTTCTGGTACAAAAAATAGACACATGGATCAATGGAAAAGAATCCAGAGCCTCAAAGTAAAGCCATGTTTATATGGCCAATTAATCTATGAAAAAGGAGACAAGAATATACAACAGGGAAAAGACAGTCCTGTCAAGAAATGGCATTGGGAATACTGGATAGCTGCATGCAAAAAGATGAAACTAGACTACTTTATTACACCATACACAAAAATAAACTCAAAATAGCTTAATGATCTAACTGTAGGACCTGAAACCATAAAATTCCAAAAGGAAGACACAGGCAGTAAACTCTTGGTCACCAGCTTGGCAAGAGCAATTCTTTTCTGGATGTCTCCCCAGGCAAAAGGAAAAAAGCAAAAAATAAACAAGTGGGATTCTATCAAACTAAAAAGCTTCTGCACAGCACAGGAAACCATAAACAAAACAAAAAGTCAACCTACTGAATGGGAAAAAATATTCACAAATGATATAGCTGATAAAGGGTTGATGTCCAAATATATAAAGAACTCATACAACACCAAAAAAATCAAATAATCTGATTTTAAATATGGGCATAGGAACTGAAAAGCCATTTTTCCAGATGGCCAACAAACACATGAAAAAATGTTCAGTGTCATTAATCATCAGGGAAATGCAAATCAAAACCACAATGAGATACCACCTACACTAGTCAGAATGGCTAGTACCAAAAAAGACAAGAAATAACAAGTGTTCATGAGGATATGGAGAAAAGGGAACCCTCATGCACTGTTGGTGGGAATATAAATTGGTAAGGTCACTATGGAAAACTGTATTGGGGTTCTTCAAAAAATTAAAAATAGAAATACTATATGATCTATTAATTCCACTTCTGGACATTTATCCAAAGAAAATAAAATCCTTAATTTGAAAAGACATATACACCTCTACGTTTATTGCAGCATTACTTACAATAGCCATGGTATGGAAGCAATCTAAGTATCCATCAATAGGTAAATGCATAAAGAAGATGTAGTACATATACACAATGGAATATTACTCAGCCATAAAAAGAATGAACTCTTGTCATTTGTGACAACATGGATGAAGAGGGTATTATGCTAAGTGAAATAAGTCATACAGAGAAAGCCAAGTACCATCTGACTTCATTTATATGTGGAATTGGAAAGACAAATGAACAAACAAACAAAAACCTTGAAAAGAGATTCATAATTACATAGAATAAAGTGGTGGCTGCTGCTGGGAGGAGTTGGGGCAGGGGGTTGTGGGGAGGAGTATACGTGAAATAGGTAAAGGGGATAATGAGGTACAAACTTCCAGTTATAAAATAAATAAGTCAGAGAGATGAAAACTACAGCATGGGGAATACAATCAATAATACTGTAATAACATTATAGATGACAGATGCTAACTATGCACATTATGGTGAGCATTTCATAATGTACATAAATGTCAACTACTTACATACCTGAAACTGATATAATGTCAACTATACTTCAATAAATAAAAATCAATTGAAGATAAAAAATACAGTGGGTTGATATTGCCTATACACATTACTCAATTCTGAAAAAGCATATAAGAAATATTAATAAAATATCATCTTATGCTGCCCTGTAAAATAATTGATTAAAATAAAATAATGTAAAGAAAAGAAACATATATTTATTCACAAAGAAAGATCTTCAACAAGTTTTTCATTTTTCCCAGAGTTCCTCCCAAAATTAGAGCTCAACTCAGAGAAAAGAGAAAAATACTATACTTGCTCAAAGCACAGAGCATGTTTTTCACTTTTATCAGCTTATTTTACACATACACTCACATATACATATATCTACACATGTACCAGAAAAATATTGTCATAAATCCATCTTTTCAATTATCTTCATACAAGTCAATATAATAATGCCAGCAATTGTACCTTCAAATAACCAGGTGATGATGACTATTCTAACTTGACTCTAACAAACCAAACATACACCTCTATATTTCTTGTTCTCAACATTCCTTAGATTAATATAAGGAAAGGAGACAGGTAAAAAGCATAGGTAGGAACTGACTACAAATATTTTGTCTTCAAAAAAAGCAAAGAAATGCTTTATCCCTGAATATAGTTTAAATCACTAAACAGATAACCTTCCTTAAAAAAAAATAAAAAAAAAAAAAAAAAAAAAAATTTTTTTTAAATTTTCAAATCAGAATTTCTCCTCACCCACTTTATAAAATATTTTTGCCTAAGAGCAATCTGTCATCACATGCAGTTTAAATCATTAACTACACAGCACCAAATCATTAGTATAACCAGCATGTAAATTTTACGAAGGTACTGATTATGTCCTTTCAAGTGTTTTGTCTAACATCCTATATAAGGAAGCTTATTAAACATTCATGATGTTTAATAATAAAAATAAAACCAAAACAAAAATCTTTATCATTCAACTTGGCTGTCACATACAATATAAACCACTGATCAGTATCTGTTTCTCCAGGTGCAATTATAAGAAACAGAATACAAAACAAACCCCTTTCAAAGTAGAAATTCTGACTCCTCTGTCCAAGAATGCTGTTCCATTTTCGTGTCAGAAAGAAACTGCCAGGCCACCAGCAGATAGCATGCAACAAGCAGATTGTTAGAGTGTTTAACCTAAGCACTTACGCACCATTTACAATGCAAAAAGCCTGCTACCTTTCATGCCTATTATTGGAGATATTTTCCTTACCTTTCCCATTTTGCCATGTAGTATACCAAGATAAAGTAAGGAACGAAGTGATAAATGCTAAAGCAGTGGCTACAGTTCCATTTCGGAGCCTCATCTCATTTCACCATCACAGTGGTTCATATGTTTATAGTAATAACCAAGACTGTTTTCTTTTAATCCTGAAGTCAACCGAATCCAGTAGTTTTGGCTCTGGGCCAATAAAAACAATCAATGAGATTCACTACAGATGCTCTGCAGAACAAACAAGTCTATCAGCAACACAATTCACAAATACTACTCAGGATTGTCTTCACAGTCTTCATAGGTTGATGTCTCAGGCTTCTTCCTATTCAGGGAGAAAAGAGAAAGAAAAACTTGTTCAATAATGTAAAATATTAGTTTCTTCACCATTCTATTAGTCACCATTATAAACAGACTTTTGGCTGGGCTAAACTATGTCTATAAAAATCATCCCCACATCTAAACAACTCATTTAATATACTAGAATTATATGGTTCTTCTCCTCCAGAGAAAAAGGCTTCAAACTATGTTCCCTCCTTATTGGTTTTGTTTTGTCAGTGAAAAGAAAGTTACGGTTACTTATTTAAAGGGGCAAGCTGAGGTGCTCATTAAACAAAAAGATTCCCAGTGGAGAACTCTAAAGATTCCACAATAGTTCTTAAATAACATAATCTTCACACTCCTCTGAATTCCTATTGCACAGTAATAGTTAATGTATTAAAATCTTTCAGAAAACTGACAGACTGTCACAAATACAAGGGTCCAAAGACCTGGCCCTAGATTCAGCTCCATCACTACTTACGTGACTTTGGGCATGTCACTTATCTAGTACTTGCAGTTTCATCCAAAAAAATTAAAGAACAACCTGTCCAGGGTTCCTCTTTCACATGTTATAATAAACAATAAAAAAGGGTAGAGTTATTATTGCTATTTATCATCATCATAAAATAAATGCAGTTTTTCCAGTGATTAACTTATTCCCAGAGTGTAAATTGCAAACTTTTAGGCATTTAGAAAATGCAGCAGTCCAACCACAGGATACTATCTGATCTAGGGCCCATCATTTAGCACTGCTTTAATTCAGGAAATCTGAAGACCGCCACCCATCTAATAAATCTTTTAAGAAAAAGGAATGAAATGACGTCCTTATAAGTACTTTAGCATATTCATCTAGCACATACTAGATTCTCAATAAATGTTAACTGTATTAAAAAAATAAATAAAATCACAGCCGGCCACAGATTCAGTCCACTCTACACAAAGCAAGTCTCATTCCCTGGGGACATGTCAGGCACTTTGAGATGTGCATTGATTCCTGGAGGCCTTAAGGGGACTGCAAGATGCACTTGACAATATACCAGTGACACTCTGGTGGGATGAGTTAATGCACCTTCAAAAATGCCTAACTAACCTAAGGGACAATTCCCTCTGTAGAAGAGTATGGCTGATTAAAGCAGCCATTTGTACAGAATTCAGAACTACCATCTCAGCTACTTTGTAAGACTGAACATAACTAGGAATCTCCAGTAGGGAGGAAAGATCACTATGGCATAGTATTAATACTAATAATGATAGACACTACAACTCATTGTTTCCTATTCACCCATTATGTTTTAAATCATCACAAAATTCTACGAGGCAGGCATCATTAACCCTATCCTACACAGAAGGAAATGAAGCCACAGAGAGAACTCTAATTTGTATGACTCCAAAGTTCAAGTTCTTATCTACCACCCTTTGCTTCTCAAACGAGGCTACCTGCATGATGGAAGTATGAAGAGAAGTGCCAGGGAACTCCAAGTCTCAGGTCACGTTGGAGAATCATATGGTGTTAACTTTACCCAACAGTGCAAATTTTTAAAAATATGTAACAAACATGGGTCTACTATGGAATAAGCTGCAAAATTCATAGGAAATTTCAAAGTTTAAAGTAAAAACTGAATAAATTTCTCACTTCCTGCAGTGTTCGGCAAGCCCACACCCTTTACAGCCATGCATGCCTGTTAACTCTCCTTGGCCAGTGGTTCCAACTGTGGTGTAATATTCTAGAAGCATTGAACCCCCTGTACTTCCTTGCTTCCTTCTTACTATCTGAAAACAAGGAAATCCAAAGATATTCTCACTTACAAGTTTTTACCATTGCCTTCTAAAACCAAAATTATTCACTTTCTATAGTTAACATCAAACATACCCGTGTCTACAGATTAGAATTTAAAATCTTCATGGTGAAATCCTGTAATTTCAACTTAATCCCATCAAGTGCTTAATATATGGTCTTATACCAGGCACTCAATAATGAATTCTGATGATAAAAAGTGAAGTAACAGCTTACTGAGTTATATAACTTGTAATTTTAATCCTCTTGTGGCAGGACATAAAAATGCATATAATTTGCCATTGCTATATACTTAGCCCTACCTTACTTCAGGAAAATATTTTGTCCTAGTAAGATATGTAAAAGTATACATGTCATTACAGAAAGCATTCAATTAATAATCATGGGGAAGTCGAGAAACAGAGAATCATAAAATAAAGGCTAAAGTGGTTTTATTAAGTACAAATAAAGCCCATATGCTAAGATTCAGTATAAATGCATAGAGACAAGTAAAATGAATGAACTCCAAAATCAAAGTAGACTATAGATGTACTACTACTGGATAATATGTGAAAAACAAAGACTATTAAATACTGGATTCAAGAAGCTATTAAGCTCTGGTTTGAAGATGATACTTATAATCAATTCTAACAAATACAACCTGAAATTCTGCAAATAGAAATATGAGTTATTTACTTAGCAAGAATGTAGTCATGCATTTTTAATTAGGTTTTCCAAACTAATGAAGTTTAACCGCATAGGACAAGTGAAGACTCCAGAGAAGAGCAAAATTAATGACCACAATCCTTTTAAACCCAAAAGAGGCAGTTGATAAACTGGACAGCAAAAAGCCATATGGACTGACTTAACTACCCAAAGTTAGAGACAAAGTGGCCCATGTTTTTATCAGTGTCCACATTTGCAAAAATTTTAATGTAACAAAATTGTTTAATCTAATCTTAATATTCTCTGAGACTATCACTTAACATATTTGAATCTTCAACAACAAAAAAGGCAGTGGCTAAAATTACTAGTCATCTCCAACCTCACAAAGATGAATGGAACTTCAATTCTAGGTCTCAGACTGAAAAGTCTGTTTATTAATAGTCCTTTAAGGGCTGCGCTGCTATATTTTATTATTAGATACAAAACCTTTATTAATTTTAAAGTGTCCTCTGAAATATTCACTGTGTTCCAGAGCTGAGAACACATTGCTTAACACTTAGTATATTCCCTAATTACCATCTCACAGGCGGACGGAGGTGCCTGAGAAATGAAAGGCACAATAATGAAATCCATGACGTCGTAAGCTATATAACTTTATAAACCTCAATTATGTTAAAGTTCATTCGCTTTACATTTATAAAAGGATTAATATTTTTATTTAATACAGCTTACATAATTTCATCGTCCAAGGCGTTTTCAGATTTACATGTGTGGGCTAAAGAAATATATACCACAATAATCTGCTAATAAAACTAATTTTTTAATACCCAAAAAAGAAAAAAGCCACAAAACGCATATTTGATTCTAAAATTAGGTTCTAAATTCAAACGAACGTTGTCATTATCCTTCATCCGAATCCGTCCAACAGCAAAAGCACAACAGCAAAATACATGGAAAGCATTAAAAACACACATTGTGCCTGCTTTTATTTCGTAACTCGATTGTAAGCAATGAACGGGCTCCGGAGAAACGGGCGCTGAGAGAAATAAAAGCGGGCGCGCGAGCGATGTGACTGCCAGCTCGTGAAACACGCCTTCGGGATGTCAACTGGGACACCGTGGAATCACCTGGACCCAACCTAAGGGTCCCACTTGCGGCTTCCTCAGTAAGAGGGGACTTGAGGCCTGAGGGCATTGGGGTGCCTTCATTCACACCGGACCACCAGGTCTTCACTTAAAAAATCAATTGAAGATAAAAAATACAGTGGGTTGATATTGCCTATACACATTACTCAATTCTGAAAAAGCATATAAGAAATATTAATAAAATATCATCTTATGCTGCCCTGTAAAATAATTGATTAAAATAAAATAATGTAAAGAAAAGAAACATATATTTATTCACAAAGAAAGATCTTCAACAAGTTTTTCATTTTTCCCAGAGTTCCTCCCAAAATTAGAGCTCAACTCAGAGAAAAGAGAAAAATACTATACTTGCTCAAAGCACAGAGCATGTTTTTCACTTTTATCAGCTTATTTTACACATACACTCACATATACATATATCTACACATGTACCAGAAAAATATTGTCATAAATCCATCTTTTCAATTATCTTCATACAAGTCAATATAATAATGCCAGCAATTGTACCTTCAAATAACCAGGTGATGATGACTATTCTAACTTGACTCTAACAAACCAAACATACACCTCTATATTTCTTGTTCTCAACATTCCTTAGATTAATATAAGGAAAGGAGACAGGTAAAAAGCATAGGTAGGAACTGACTACAAATATTTTGTCTTCAAAAAAAGCAAAGAAATGCTTTATCCCTGAATATAGTTTAAATCACTAAACAGATAACCTTCCTTAAAAAAAAATAAAAAAAAAAAAAAAAAAAAAAATTTTTTTTAAATTTTCAAATCAGAATTTCTCCTCACCCACTTTATAAAATATTTTTGCCTAAGAGCAATCTGTCATCACATGCAGTTTAAATCATTAACTACACAGCACCAAATCATTAGTATAACCAGCATGTAAATTTTACGAAGGTACTGATTATGTCCTTTCAAGTGTTTTGTCTAACATCCTATATAAGGAAGCTTATTAAACATTCATGATGTTTAATAATAAAAATAAAACCAAAACAAAAATCTTTATCATTCAACTTGGCTGTCACATACAATATAAACCACTGATCAGTATCTGTTTCTCCAGGTGCAATTATAAGAAACAGAATACAAAACAAACCCCTTTCAAAGTAGAAATTCTGACTCCTCTGTCCAAGAATGCTGTTCCATTTTCGTGTCAGAAAGAAACTGCCAGGCCACCAGCAGATAGCATGCAACAAGCAGATTGTTAGAGTGTTTAACCTAAGCACTTACGCACCATTTACAATGCAAAAAGCCTGCTACCTTTCATGCCTATTATTGGAGATATTTTCCTTACCTTTCCCATTTTGCCATGTAGTATACCAAGATAAAGTAAGGAACGAAGTGATAAATGCTAAAGCAGTGGCTACAGTTCCATTTCGGAGCCTCATCTCATTTCACCATCACAGTGGTTCATATGTTTATAGTAATAACCAAGACTGTTTTCTTTTAATCCTGAAGTCAACCGAATCCAGTAGTTTTGGCTCTGGGCCAATAAAAACAATCAATGAGATTCACTACAGATGCTCTGCAGAACAAACAAGTCTATCAGCAACACAATTCACAAATACTACTCAGGATTGTCTTCACAGTCTTCATAGGTTGATGTCTCAGGCTTCTTCCTATTCAGGGAGAAAAGAGAAAGAAAAACTTGTTCAATAATGTAAAATATTAGTTTCTTCACCATTCTATTAGTCACCATTATAAACAGACTTTTGGCTGGGCTAAACTATGTCTATAAAAATCATCCCCACATCTAAACAACTCATTTAATATACTAGAATTATATGGTTCTTCTCCTCCAGAGAAAAAGGCTTCAAACTATGTTCCCTCCTTATTGGTTTTGTTTTGTCAGTGAAAAGAAAGTTACGGTTACTTATTTAAAGGGGCAAGCTGAGGTGCTCATTAAACAAAAAGATTCCCAGTGGAGAACTCTAAAGATTCCACAATAGTTCTTAAATAACATAATCTTCACACTCCTCTGAATTCCTATTGCACAGTAATAGTTAATGTATTAAAATCTTTCAGAAAACTGACAGACTGTCACAAATACAAGGGTCCAAAGACCTGGCCCTAGATTCAGCTCCATCACTACTTACGTGACTTTGGGCATGTCACTTATCTAGTACTTGCAGTTTCATCCAAAAAAATTAAAGAACAACCTGTCCAGGGTTCCTCTTTCACATGTTATAATAAACAATAAAAAAGGGTAGAGTTATTATTGCTATTTATCATCATCATAAAATAAATGCAGTTTTTCCAGTGATTAACTTATTCCCAGAGTGTAAATTGCAAACTTTTAGGCATTTAGAAAATGCAGCAGTCCAACCACAGGATACTATCTGATCTAGGGCCCATCATTTAGCACTGCTTTAATTCAGGAAATCTGAAGATCGCCACCCATCTAATAAATCTTTTAAGAAAAAGGAATGAAATGACATCCTTATAAGTACTTTAGCATATTCATCTAGCACATACTAGATTCTCAATAAATGTTAACTGTATTAAAAAAATAAATAAAATCACAGCCGGCCACAGATTCAGTCCACTCTACACAAAGCAAGTCTCATTCCCTGGGGACATGTCAGGCACTTTGAGATGTGCATTGATTCCTGGAGGCCTTAAGGGGACTGCAAGATGCACTTGACAATATACCAGTGACACTCTGGTGGGATGAGTTAATGCACCTTCAAAAATGCCTAACTAACCTAAAGGACAATTCCCTCTGTAGAAGAGTATGGCTGATTAAAACAGCCATTTGTACAGAATTCAGAACTACCATCTCAGCTACTTTGTAAGACTGAACATAACTAGGAATCTCCAGTAGGGAGGAAAGATCACTATGGCATAGTATTAATACTAATAATGATAGACACTACAACTCATTGTTTCCTATTCACCCATTATGTTTTAAATCATCACAAAATTCTACGAGGCAGGCATCATTAACCCTATCCTACACAGAAGGAAATGAAGCCACAGAGAGAACTCTAATTTGTATGACTCCAAAGTTCAAGTTCTTATCTACCACCCTTTGCTTCTCAAACGAGGCCACCTGCATGATGGAAGTATGAAGAGAAGTGCCAGGGAACTCCAAGTCTCAGGTCACGTTGGAGAATCATATGGTGTTAACTTTACCCAACAGTGCAAATTTTTAAAAATATGTAACAAACATGGGTCTACTATGGAATAAGCTGCAAAATTCATAGGAAATTTCAAAGTTTAAAGTAAAAACTGAATAAATTTCTCACTTCCTGCAGTGTTCGGCAAGCCCACACCCTTTACAGCCATGCATGCCTGTTAACTCTCCTTGGCCAGTGGTTCCAACTGTGGTGTAATATTCTAGAAGCATTGAACCCCCTGTACTTCCTTGCTTCCTTCTTACTACCTGAAAACAAGGAAATCCAAAGATATTCTCACTTACAAGTTTTTACCATTGCCTTCTAAAACCAAAATTATTCACTTTCTATAGTTAACATCAAACATACCCGTGTCTACAGATTAGAATTTAAAATCTTCATGGTGAAATCCTGTAATTTCAACTTAATCCCATCAAGTGCTTAATATATGGTCTTATACCAGGCACTCAATAATGAATTCTGATGATAAAAAGTGAAGTAACAGCTTACTGAGTTATATAACTTGTAATTTTAATCCTCTTGTGGCAGGACATAAAAATGCATATAATTTGCCATTGCTATATACTTAGCCCTACCTTACTTCAGGAAAATATTTTGTCCTAGTAAGATATGTAAAAGTATACATGTCATTACAGAAAGCATTCAATTAATAATCATGGGGAAGTCGAGAAACAGAGAATCATAAAATAAAGGCTAAAGTGGTTTTATTAAGTACAAATAAAGCCCATATGCTAAGATTCAGTATAAATGCATAGAGACAAGTAAAATGAATGAACTCCAAAATCAAAGTAGACTATAGATGTACTACTACTGGATAATATGTGAAAAACAAAGACTATTAAATACTGGATTCAAGAAGCTATTAAGCTCTGGTTTGAAGATGATACTTATAATCAATTCTAACAAATACAACCTGAAATTCTGCAAATAGAAATATGAGTTATTTACTTAGCAAGAATGTAGTCATGCATTTTTAATTAGGTTTTCCAAACTAATGAAGTTTAACCGCATAGGACAAGTGAAGACTCCAGAGAAGAGCAAAATTAATGACCACAATCCTTTTAAACCCAAAAGAGGCAGTTGATAAACTGGACAGCAAAAAGCCATATGGACTGACTTAACTACCCAAAGTTAGAGACAAAGTGGCCCATGTTTTTATCAGTGTCCACATTTGCAAAAATTTTAATGTAACAAAATTGTTTAATCTAATCTTAATATTCTCTGAGACTATCACTTAACATATTTGAATCTTCAACAACAAAAAAGGCAGTGGCTAAAATTACTAGTCATCTCCAACCTCACAAAGATGAATGGAACTTCAATTCTAGGTCTCAGACTGAAAAGTCTGTTTATTAATAGTCCTTTAAGGGCTGCGCTGCTATATTTTATTATTAGATACAAAACCTTTATTAATTTTAAAGTGTCCTCTGAAATATTCACTGTGTTCCAGAGCTGAGAACACATTGCTTAACACTTAGTATATTCCCTAATTACCATCTCACAGGCGGACGGAGGTGCCTGAGAAATGAAAGGCACAATAATGAAATCCATGACGTCGTAAGCTATATAACTTTATAAACCTCAATTATGTTAAAGTTCATTCGCTTTACATTTATAAAAGGATTAATATTTTTATTTAATACAGCTTACATAATTTCATCGTCCAAGGCGTTTTCAGATTTACATGTGTGGGCTAAAGAAATATATACCACAATAATCTGCTAATAAAACTAATTTTTTAATACCCAAAAAAGAAAAAAGCCACAAAACGCATATTTGATTCTAAAATTAGGTTCTAAATTCAAACGAACGTTGTCATTATCCTTCATCCGAATCCGTCCAACAGCAAAAGCACAACAGCAAAATACATGGAAAGCATTAAAAACACACATTGTGCCTGCTTTTATTTCGTAACTCGATTGTAAGCAATGAACGGGCTCCGGAGAAACGGGCGCTGAGAGAAATAAAAGCGGGCGCGCGAGCGATGTGACTGCCAGCTCGTGAAACACGCCTTCGGGATGTCAACTGGGACACTTCGTGGAATCACCTGGACCCAACCTAAGGGTCCCACTTGCGGCTTCCTCAGTAAGAGGGGACTTGAGGCCTGAGGGCATTGGGGTGCCTTCATTCACACCGGACCACCAGGTCTTCACTTCGTAGGAAAATTCGCTACAACAGTTGTTGCACGCCTTCTCCGCCCCGGCGGGAGCAGCCCTGCCTCCGTGCCCAGGACCGCCTCACTCCCGCTCCACGGGGAAGGCGCCCTCTCCCCGGCGGACGTGGGCCCTGGGGCGGCCCAGTCGCACGGGCAAACCTCTCTCCCCCGCTGCACCCCCAAACCCTCACTTTCCTCCACTTTGCCCCAAAGTCGACGAGCCACGCCGCGCCGGGAACACACCGGGCGCCCGGCCGGCCATGGGGAGAGCGTGCGGTACCGAGGGGCTGCGGCGACGGAGGCCGAGCGGGGCTGACGGCGCGGCCAGGGCGCCCCGGCCCGCGCCCCGCCCCGAGGCCCAGCCCACGCCCGGAGCCGGCCCCGCAGCAGCCGGAGAAGCGCAAGCTCCCTGTGGCCGGGCCGCGGCGCGGGCATCTCCCTTACAGCAGGTGGATGGTCCGCGCTCCCCGCGCCTCAGAGCCCGGCAGCCGGCGCCGCCCCTCCATCCCGAACCATTCCGCGTAGCTGCCCTGCGCCCCCACCTCGCGGCCGCCCGCGCGCCGCCGCAGCCGCAAGCCCCTCACCCGCCACCAGCGTTGCCTGTCCTGCCGCTGCCGCCGCCGCCGCTGCCCTTTGCCGCTGGTGCGGGCGTCCCGCCTCCCCGCCGCGACTCCGCCCCCGCCGCGGAGCGCCGCGGCCGCCCCGCCCACCACGGCCCCGCCCGCAACCCCGCTTGCTATTGGCCGCCGGGGCCGCGCGTCGGCCCGGGGCGCCCCCACGCGGCCGAGTCGCTCGCGTCAGTGGTCCGCCGGGCTGTCATTTAGGGGTGCCTGTGGGTGGCAATGGAGCTCTCCCCCCTTCATTTAATGTCACTGCGAAGTCTGGGGCAGTGTCTTGGACGCCGGAGCTTAGCGTCTCCTTTCCGCCACATCTGGCTTTAGTTCTCCGGCATGTGCAGGGGCAGCGCAGACCGCCGACAAAGGCCCCGGGAGACCTCGGCCTCCGCCTGCGCGCGCCCCGAGACCTCCCGGGGCTGCTCAGCCCCAGCCCGTTCCCCCAGCTGCGGCCTTCCCTGCCGTCCTGCCTGGGCAGCGTTCCAGTGACAGGTCCCGGGGCGTCTCGCACCCTATCCAACAACAGCATCCGAGACCCCACGGTTCCAAGCACCTCACCGACTGTCTGACTATCGCCACAGCACCGGCTATTGGCGTGGTTACCTCCACTTTACCTATGAGGAGACTGGACTCGGGACTAGCTTAATCAACTAGAAAGAGGAAATATAACAAGGATTTTAATGCTTGTCGTTTGGGTGCCAAAGCCTCTGATTTATCCACTACGCCGCTGACCTGCTGCTGTCTTCTGAGCGCTTCATCCTCATCTACCATTTGGGAAGGTTTGAAGTAAACTTCAGAACCAAATAGATAATCCTCTGCAGAGAGGCAAGTGGTCTGACCGATTTTTCTTAGTATTGTTAACCTTAAAAACAAAAATCAGTTATTTCAGCAGCAAGAATTGGTTTATTCAGGAAGAAACAAGAATTACAATTCAGGACATGCAAACTACAGCTAAAACACAGGCAAGTCCTGATAACAAATCGGAGGAATCCTTTTTCAAAGAGGAGAAGGGTGGAGTCAGGAAGGCTGATCTAAACAAAAATCCCACTGGAGGAAACTGGGAGTCCGGCATATTGTGGCTTCTCATTGGCTGAGTGGTGACAGCCTCCCATTGGCAGGGCTGATGCTGAGGGAGGCAGAAACCTTCCCTCTCCCTGCTGGGTAGTAGAGTAGCTCAACCTGGTAAGACGTGAAGGTGTCCCTCTTTCTTCCTCTTCCCTCCTATGGGGTCTGCAATTGAGGAAATGTGGTGGCCTCTTGACACTATGTCAATGCTGTTTCCTTTTATCAATTTTCACAGAATATGGATAGTCATTAAATGGAGTCTGGAGGCTGGAAGAGGAGTACTTGGACCCTATTCCTGGGGGTTACTTGCAGACCCCAACAAGAGGAGATGGATCTTGCAAATTGATTCTTCCCTAGCTACTACTTCACTATCCTATAAGAGGAAGGAAGTTTTTTCTCCTTCCCCAGCAACAACCCAGCCAATGAGAAGCCACAATACTTGTAACTACCAGTTTACTCTAGTGGACTTTTTGTTTATAAGAGCCCCTTCCTAGTCCCCCCGTTCTTCTACAAAAGAGAGATCTTGTCATTCGTTACCCCAATTTGGCTTTGTTTTTGCTGAACCTCCTCTGTCCCAAATTATAATACTCTGCTATTACGTTTGCAGGTAAATACTGACAATTTTATTTTTAAGGTTAACATTACCTACCATATTCCAGGCAAGTTGTTAAGATTTAAATTACATTATCTCACTTAATCCCCATTTTTCCTGAGGAAACTGGAATTCAAAGAGATTAAAGAGTTTGCCCAAGGTCACACACACAGCTGGCTTCAAACACCAGAGATGTGTTATTTTAACCGCTACAGTAATCCTTACAACAACTTTGCAAGTTAATATTCACATGGAATTGGGGGCCGAAGATCAAGGAGACACCCTTTTTCCTGCCAAGCTTCCAAAGTAGTCTGCAAATAGGATCTTTCTGGAAAACAGTAATCCAAAGATTCAAAACTCTTAAGAGACACACATCAATCAGAAAGGTTTTTTCCCCTAGCAAAAATGCCTTTATTTTTGTCTTAAGATAATGGTATTTAATAATCAGCTATGCATGGGTTTCTTAGCTCTCCCAGGGTAAGAATTCTCTCCACGACTGTTAAGCTGTTTTAAAGGTCCAAGAAGAGACAGATACATGATTCCCCTCCTCCCATGGGGCTCCACTGATTTAGGAGGAGGAGACAGCAAGAGGTCCACTACCCAGCAACATGAACATGAGTTAGGCATGACAGCCATGACATTGAATGTCAACTTTTCTCTGCTTTGGAGGCTTGAGAACCAGATTTCCTGTATTCTTTGACAAAGACATTTCCTTGTAGTAAAACTGGCAACAGATTTCATTCATGACCAGATGTAAGCAATAAAGAAGACTGAGCCCATTCTGGGATACAGTCTTTGATACATTGTTTGATATATCCTGCCTTAAATATCTCTTGGGAATGGAAAATCCTAGGCCTTGTACAATGCTTTTAATGACAGACAAGCAAACTCCTTCTTGCAGATGAAGGAAGCATCTCCACAAATGATGTGGCAGAAAGCCGTAAGTCATATCCATGGGATTGGCCAAAAGACCAAATAACCCAGTTAGCTACTCTCCCTATTTTACAGAGGAAGCCCTGAGAGATTAATTTGGCAGATTCTGTATTTTGTAACTTAGGCAGGTAATAAATAATCAAACCAGAATTCAAATCCAGTTATTTGATGCCAGAGCCCCTGTACCATTTAACCACACTACCTCCCTGCTCACACCTTCAACAATTGACAAAATTTTATTGAGTGGATGAATATTAAGAAGTTATATTTCTCTCCACTTTCTCCATTTTTTTTCCCTTTCTGTGAAGGAAGGAAATGAAAGCATTCACAAACATTCTCCTATGATATGTCAGAGGAGAAAGGAAAGCAGAAAAAGACAAGTTTCAATACAAACTGAATGGGTTTATTCAGAAAGACAGCAGGAATTCTCCCCTGGATGCTGCTTGGCAGTGAAACCCACTGCAGACAGAAAGCAAGCAGAAAAAAACACAACTGCCTTCCTTTAGGGGCCTTTCTAATAGTTTGTTGCTCCTTTATCTGGCAGCTGAAGGTCAGGTTTGGGAAGAAATCTGGTGATACAGTTAAACTTGTCCCAAGCCATTCACATTTTAGCTCAGGAAATTCTGCACTTCAGTTCATGGTCCTAAGACATCATAATGGCATGGAATATATACCTCCAAAGTATGGGTTAGAATTGGTTGATCATTCATCCTAACTTTGCAAAGTGTATTATCCTGGAATTTCCAACTCTATCTATGGTATCTGTTTAATAAACAATCAAAGGCAGTCATGCCAAACCCCACTCAGTCCTATTTCTTTTTCTCTTTTTTCTCTTTTCCACAATGGCTCTCCCTTTCTGTTATTCCCTTTTTGTTTCATCTCTTCTCTGCAGTTTCTCTTTTGCCCTTTCCAGGCCTTTAGTTCACAGTCCGTGGAAATCGGGGAAGGGCTTTGGCAGGTAGTTCTGCCTGTAACTTCATTCTAAATTCTGCTCAAACTGCTCGGTGGTGGCTGTTCTTTCCACAAACATTTTCTGAGTGCCCATGATGTGCAGTCAGCTGGTGCCTAACCTTGGGGTGCTCACAGACTAGCAGGCAACATGGGAAAGGAATTAAATCACAAGACAGCACAAGTTCAAGGTGTGGGACAGAAGATAGGATGGGATCATCAGTTAGATTCTTGAGGCAGGGAAGATTTCTAGAGGTGACACCTGAGCTAAAATGCAGAGTACACACAAGTCTGAAGGTGAGTTAGTGGAGCCATGCCTGCAGCAATCAACCTCCAAGAATCAACTACAAGAGCTTTACTTCTCTTCTCCTCCAGTCCCCTCCTTGCATTACCAATCAAGCTTGCATCATTCCTGAGGGTTTATTAAGGTTAAAATTCAGGTTTATTGGCTACTAACTCAAATGGAATCTATTTTCAATTGTAAAAACTTCAAGAGCAATCACATCAGGATGTTCTTCCTGGATTTTTTTTTAATGGCTCATGTGGAGATGGTAGGAACCCTCTCATTTTACTTGCTAAACTGCACTCTATCACTTTAGTCTAAAAGCTATAGCAGCACTAGGAACATGATGGGCATTAAAGCTTATTAACACTGTTTTAGCTGCAGAGTATTTCAGACAGTGCACAGACTATTTCTGTTGTATAATCAGGGCACATGAGGTCCAAGAAATTAATGAGAGAATTCAAATAGAACCAATCACCTCATTTAATATTCAACCCTAGGTAGACATTAAAGTCATCCAGATGAAGGACAGCAGATGGCTAAATAATTTTTAATTTTTATTATTATACTTCCACCCCATGCCTTTGCTCATCTCTATGTGAGAAAACTCTTGAAAGATTCCTTTCCTATTCATTCACGTCCACACCGTTGGGATAGATATGCCTGTCGGGCTATTCAGACAAAAGTCAGTTGTGTGGCTAGAAAAGTATGGAATTATAAGACCTTACCATACTTAAGTGTTGTATCCAGTGGTGTTTTCATATGTGTATAAGACATTGCTAAAATTTTCCAGGAAAACTCCAGAAGACAAAGTAAAGAGAGAGAGAGAGAGAGAGAGAGAGAGAGAGAGAGAGAGAGAAAGAGAGAGAGAGAGAGAATATCCACCCATCTTGCAGAGAACAGGTTCCCTTCCAGGCATTGTTGTTAGAACAATCAGCAATTCCTCATGGCAGGAAAAGTCTCTGCCAAGATTGTTTAGGAGGTTTGGGGGAATCAGTCTTCCCTTCTGAGTGACAGCCCCACCGTTACACTGGCTTTATTCCAAAAGCATGGTGGAAGAGAACTGTGTGCCGGAGAATGGCACAGCTTTGGGGATTCTTTTCTTTTCATTTTTTTCCCCTGTGAATTTGGTACTTGTCAAAGATGCTGGATCAACAGCCCTGCAACTGAAATCCATCCATGAATAAAACCAGTTCGAGCAGTTCAGCTATGCTACTACTCCA